TTGAAAATGTGGAGCCCCTCGCATATTTAAATCTTCACTCAAAACCACGATGTAAGACACTTGTTAAACCCTTTATATTGCTGGCGTAGGACAGAGCTAAAAGGCAGTTAGCCAAAAAATCAAAGATTATTCTAAATCTCAAGCATTTGCGTCCATTCTTTGTAGAATCTGTCGTAAATAGCATTTATTTACAAAGCTTTATTCGCGATGTGATCTGTTTTGTCATATAAATCGATTTCGTGAGAGGTCAGTGTGTTATTTTAATTGATATGTGGTTTTGGATCCCGTGGTTCTTTAACACCTTCGGTTCAGCTCACAGGGTAAAAATATTCTAGGAATTTGCCATTCAGTTCCAAATTCTCTGATGTGCCGCTCACAGCCGTGCAAAAATTTTAGCGGTTGCGACTCCTCGTGTCAACATTTCCTATCCGTGTCAGTAAGACTGTCGTTATCAGCTAGATGCAAGGGAATAGAAAGTTATTAAGTCTTCACATCGCAGAATATACTGAGTCAGCGACAACAAGTTAGAATTACTTTCAGAAGTTTTGGAACTTTTAACTTAAAATTGCTACATTTTATAAGGAGTAAATCTAAAGTGATTGATGTATTTTCCGTTACAATAATTCTTCACTGGAAGCTGCGCTGAAAAGGAAATCATGTGAATACCACTCGAACGGTACGAAACGCAATTTTATGACGTTAAACAGTTTTTGAGATCACCGGCAGCTCGTTGGTGACATCACTATTTTAAGTGAATGACTTGAAATGTTTGTCCCACGAAATTGTTAAATGTATAAAAAGTAAAACAGATGATAAAATATCCCCTTTAAATTCCTCAACAATATAAAATAAGTAATAATTTTAGTGCAGAAGGGGAAACCTAATCGTACATAATATCTTAATTCTTATTCAGACTATAAGACGTTCTGCCTACATATCAAGTGATATGTTCTTACGATTAGAGAAATAACATTAAATCGAGGAACTTCAAAAAGGTATTTGAGTTTAAGAAAAGAAAATACCAAAGATAATTACAAAATTGAAAAAGATCAAGAATTTGGCGACTCTGGGGACAGATTAGAAAGAGGATTAGAAAGAGAAACTTGAAGGAAACGTCAGGCTAAATAAGAAGTAGAGGACGCCCAACTTGAACAGTGTGACTGTATTCCTATAAACATGTTGCTTAACTTACCTCTAAATTCCAAGAATAAAGTTCCTTTTCTGATTTGTGGTTCACCTTTGAGTTCTGAAGTCAACACACGGCTTTCATCCCAATGGAAGGCGATTTTTATACTTTTTCATTCCTAATTTATTTAACACCATTGTTGAACGAAGCGTGTTCTATACTCCACCTACACGAACGGAAGTTTAATCAACTCTCTCCTATTTTTAACTGTTCAAGATAATTTCGTTCACATGCACACCACTTGGGCAAGGGGCCATTCCATTCGACCATGTGCACATCAAATATCATGACATCATTGGACAAATGATATACTACTGTAAACAAGTATTATGTTTAAAAAAGTGTAATATCCTTTCTTTATGTAGCAGATAATTTAAGGGCTACTTTTTTGAACTCTTGAAAATTGTTTGAAAAACAAAAGACAGTGTGTTTCGGTCTTGGTAATCAAGAAATTGTGAAAAAAACCCTATAATTTTATTTCTGTCAGGAAAACGTTTGAACATTTATCACATACAAGTATGGAGACTAGACCACCTCTTGACTCCGTGACGTAATCTGTCTTATAAGTGGAAGGGGTTTTGTGATTAAAATGGATCTAAACTTTGCACGGTTTTCAAGGGTAAATATCGTTGCCTGGCACTATCGCTGCAAGTGAAGAAATCCCTTAAAGCCATTTTATTTTATTAGAACAGATTTGTTATGGTTCTTTTGTCGGTTTTCGTTTACTACAGATATAGGACTGAAACGACATGAAACGCGGTATCAGATTTGCCCTTGGTACACAAATACTCTCCCAGCCTCTGGCTTGCTTGCTATACTATCAAAACCTCCCGTGGGTGATAGCGCACTCATTAAAATACAAACAAAATGCGTGAAACCTTCTGCATTAAAACTCATCTCTTCACTTAACATGCGCGTGCGCATACTAAAATAGCTCCTTGCCCCGTAACGCAGGGGAAGTGACTCGAGCGGAAGCTAACATTTGTTATCGTATGTCCCCAAATGAAAAATTTTCCAACGAATTGCAGGAGAAAATTTCGCCAGACGTTACAGTAGACTTGCTGTGTAAGCACATCTTTGAAGCATTTACTCTGGCGAACTTTTATATTTTCTGTGTGGGAACTAATAAGGCAATATTCTTTTCGCTTGAGATAAACTCGTCGGATTTTTTTGCACCCCAAAATGCTAAAGTTTAATGAAATTAACTTTATATCGGGGAGCTCGGTGAAGGTTTTCAGTTTATTCTGGTGTCGTTTTTCAAAAAAAAAAGGTTTTTTTTCTTGATGTTTCACACAACGGGCAAAAAAAGGCGGAATATGTGACATCACAAGATATTTACGGCTGCTAAGGCGGATGCTGTGTCAATCTATTTCTGAATTCACTGAGTCGCGAATGGTTGCCGGAATGAATAATGAAACACCCGGCTTACTGCAATATACTTACACAAGTGAAATTGATATATCGGCGACAGAGCTATCAAATCATGTCTAACTTAGCAAACTTTAATTTAAATGTTTGCCATGTAAAGCTGCTTTTGCAGGCTTTTACTTAAAGCGATTTCAAAGAAGTCCAAATGAAGATTTTGTCCTATTTTGTCCTGTGTACCCTTCGTTTAATAGACAATATAACTAAGCAATTTATATTCCGTAATTTTATGTTTAATTTGCCGGTTTCTCAATTTGTGAGATTAATTTCAACGTCAACAAATACCTCCAAGAAACAAACAGGCACCCGAAAATAAATTTGAATAACTAACGAAACAAACGGTTGATCATCTTTCTTCATGGTGTATTTTTAACTGACCTTGGTGGAAAAATTATTCCTGGTCTTTCGCTTTTAGAAACAGGGATTAAGAGCGTTTAGCATCTATCAGGATATAATGAAAAAAATCAATTTTGCCTAACTTTTAACGGGGATGACAATAACCATCTCTCAGTGTCTTGATTCATTAATTCAAAAATGCGTAATATGTCTTCAATTCAGTTGACCATTTAAAATACTCAGCCGGTATGAATGTCATTTAACTAAGTGCTTTTCGCTAAGTTACGTCATAGTTTCCGCCTTTTCTTGTCTGTCAGAAAATGTGCTATTAATATCCAAACAACCTTTTACGTTTTCGTGGAAAGATACCTGTCGCCGTAGTTGAACCGAGAAACGGCGCAA